TAGATATGGCAAGAAATGTAAACATTTTTTTTCGATTTCTCTGAAACGGAGCAAAAACGAGCATATGTCTATAGGACTTTTTTTCTTAGTTTTTTACTCCTCTACACGCTCCCGAAGTTTTGCCATTTAATTTGGAAACACCCTGTATAGACGATTTATAATACGTATTAGAATTCACGATAAAATTTATTTCACTAATGCAAAATTATACGAAAATACGTCAGTATTAAGTACCATATAATATAAAAAATGAAAATAACAAATACATATATTCACAGTTTTTATACCAAACATTTGGCAAAACAAAAAATGGTAATTAATATGTAAAAAATTATACAATACATATGCGAAACGCAACATAAAAATCTTGAAATTGATTGAAAGTCAGATATTAAATTTTTCTATTTTACAAATTTAGATTAATAACAAAAACGCTAATTGCACACAAACAAGTACTAAATTCCGTATCAAATTGTGCAAAATATATTTGCGAATCTATAATATATCTTGTTAAATTCTACACGCGGGAAACTAATATTTGATTGTTGGTTCAGCATTTACGCACACCTTTACGTTTTCGTTTAATTATAGAATTTTTATTTATAATAATCAGCGATTATTTTAGAATGCTGAATTTTTAATCAAGTGTAAAAGCTATTAAATCTTATACAAATTTTTTTAAGTAAATATTTATTAAACATGTTAATTTGGCGAATTTTACATATTCTTATTGTACGTATTCTGTCGTTTCTTCGTGTATATATTTGACATTACCATTATACGTATATAGTTTTAATATTATGATTAATATTATATTAATTATAATAATGGTAAATATTATAATTTAATATTATAAAATTTAACAACTTTGAGATTACATATTTTCAATTTTATTACATATATTATAAGTATTATATTTTCAAAACATAATAATACTCTCACATCTTTATCCATCCGTATAAATATTTACATTTATACTTATTAAAATTTCTGCTTATCCGTACTTCTATGTATCCATCCTTGTATTCATATCACGTATTCCATCCGTATGACATTTCTACATCCCATCTTTAGCTAGTCATGATTATCCGAAAGGAAATAGAATCTTAATTAGGACTTATTGCACAAATAATTAAAGTTTAATTCTACACGGTATCTTTTCTCCATATTATGTGCACGATCGCACATGTATGTATAGAAGTGTGTGTATTGAGTCTATTACCGTATCATATTATTTAGTGTTGACTCTATATACATATATATATATATGTATAGGTTATAAAGTATTAAACTAGATTCGCTTAGAATCGGCGAATTGAACCAATCAATATCTAATATACATCCAGAATTAATTATTTATTCTAATTTGTTTTAGCCTATCTACTTTAAGGCAGGATTTATGAACTGTAATATGTAATATTATAATATTATATGTAATAATTTATCGTAATTTGACATGTATCCATTATATTTTGACATAATTTTCATAAATCCTACTATTTCAATAAAAAAGTTCATTTTTCACTCACTGACTGATGCGCAACAGCGGAGGAATCTGCCATGTTGACTAGGTCGATACTATAACATACAAATACAAAAATCGAGATTAGTATAAAAGATAATGCATTTTTAAATAATTATTAAACGCACGGAATATTAAATTTATTCTTCAAATAAGTATTAAAATAAAAAACAATAAAATATAATTATGTAATTAAAAAAAACTTTTCGTTAAATATAAACTTTCATAAAATTTCATAAATAAAAAACTTTTTCTTTAATTCTAATTTTTTGAATTTAATTAATAGGAGGATTTAGTAAATATGAAATTTTTACATTAAATATGTATTATATTTAAATCAATTATACTCACTCCAGGGTTGCTCCGCCGATGCCCGATATCTCTCCTATAGGTCTCCTCTTTCTCTCAGACTATTTGGATTGTCCGCTTCGCAGAACTGTTCGACGCGAAATTCTCCGGATTGCTGTTTTCTGAATTATAATAATAAACGAATTATAATTATACAAATAAACGGTTCAATTAAAGGAGAACAAACGATACTTTAGTATACAAATTTATAATTATTAGGTTAATTGTTTTCAACTCTGTACTCTCTCGGCACTGTACATTCCTGAAAACGTAAATAATCATAATTGCATTTAAAAACAAAGTAAATATGATCACTTGCGAATTAATTATTAAAAAATCTTTTGTTTTTAAAAAGTCTTCGTCTAATTGTTAACACGCTGTTCCCTTACACGACACGACGTGACATAGTGCAATGAGTAGCAGTTAACGTTGCAATGAGTACCTTTGACTACTCCTTTACTACTACATCTTTATTGATTGTACCCTTTATTTATAGGGTATTGAGTCCCTCTATCTCCCCTTCAAGATTGTATTCATGGGAAGAATTATCATCATTTCAATAAAAGTTGAAATAGTGCACGAAAAGGCATTCATTATCTCAATTATTATAATAAAAATGAATTGTGTTAATTAATGAAAAATTCAGACCATGCAAAATATGTTTGACTAGCACTGTTACAGAACGTTATAGATACTAATCACAAACGTACGCATATATTCTTTACCCGCGCGTTTAAAATATCTCATATATAAAAAATCATTCGATATATGCTTATGAATCGTTCAACGTAATGTATCGGTTATTGCAATAATTGTAATAAATGCGTTCAGTATCTTTTGGTACTTGTCACAGTGATATTCTGAGAGTTAATGCTACGCATTGTTACTCGTTCGTTCGAGTGTTGGTGGACAAGAGATAGGCGCAACGACCTTGTGTTTGCAGCAGTATACTTCACAAAAACAAACACAAAGTTTTATAGCAATTTGACGTCATGAGAAGTTTAATGTTTTACGCAACAGTTTTATTTCAAATATTTTATTTTTAATTAACTTGAATAGATGCTGATTAAATCTAATGTTTATTTGAAAAAGGAAATTAATTTATTGTGATGTAAAAGTATTCATGTAAATAATAAATTTAAATTTAATACCTTTTTCTGTATTGTTACGATGCAATCGTAAACATAAAATTATAAGAGACTATAAATTTTGTATAAATAGAGTATACTATGCGCTTGGCTCAACATAAGTAGTACATTTCACAGCGATCTATTTTCGATAATTATTATTACCGTCTTTCTACTTCTTCCGACTCTTCTTCGAAGTTTATTGCGTACTGTTTTGCATTATATAACTTTGCTTTACACACGTCGTATATTTCCTCAGAATTTTAATCAGAGATACAATAACGCAGCTATACAGCTTTACAACTTGCTTTAAAGCGCATTACGATTTCTGCTTAATATAGTACTATTATCAAACAACGTACAGTGCTTTAATCATCCAACATCAAATTTACCGATATCTTTAAAGATCTTTGCCAAAGTCTGTTAAAAATATCTCAAATTACTACAATAAATTAAAAAATTAAAATTAGTAGAGTGAAATTATTCGTATTTCTAATTGAGACAAATTTAATTTACGCGATATTTTACTAGAAAGTGCTGAAATGATTTTATAATTTGCGAGATGCAAATGGTAGTAATGCGAGCAAAAATTCGCCTCGAAAGCCAAATACTGCATCTGTAATATTACGCATTCGTGAAACGTAGACGAAATTAATTCACGCAAAAAGTCAACATACTCATTTCGCTCAAACGACGAGTAAGCCAATAATTTGCCAAACTTAGGATTAAATATTTAAAAGAATTTTATCAAAAAAGCTACAGAAAAAAGAAAACTGCCAATAATATTTCTTTAATAACGTATCGCATATTATTAGATAACTACTGGGGATTAAAACTGATACATAGATGCATACATACTAACATGCGTACGCAAAATATCGAATTTCAATGCTGGACATGCAATTCCATGCTACGGGTATACGAAAGTAATCCATGTATTTATTCGCAAGAGTTTGCAGTGGCATTATATGTATATTTCCAAATTTATGGAATCGATCGAGTTCAGCGAAACTGCACATATCCGTGACAAACCGTAGGCAAACCCTAACAAATACATAGAGTAGGATTAAGCTTTCGTCGGTTGTTTGCAATTCACCCTATGAACGTTTGATGGTAAATTTTCAATACATATATCCAACTCATTTAATTCGGGAAATTCGGAACACACGAAACCTTTATACACGGAAGAATATCCCGCCTGGGACGTGATAGGCGTGTGGTTATGAGATACGCAGGCACGTAATTACCTCTTGCGCTGTTCAACGTGTACACACATTGACGCGGTTGCGAACTTGTTAGTTGTATGCTCACGTACGTTCGTATACATCTTCGTAGATATCAGGTGAAATATGCCGAACGAGTAACACACATGTACGTACAAGCAGTACGGACACCTACCCACACACATACGCGTGTATGCAAATTTATCGAGTTGACAAATTGCATTTTGGTAATAGATGGAGACATCGTGAAAATATTTTGCATATATTTTATATTACGCTGCATGATAATTACCGTTGATAAAAAGCAGCTCGTTAATCAGCGAAGGAAAAGCACGCACCCTTTGTCATGGGAAAGAATGCAATTGTTAGAAATTAATCCACAATATGTACGTTTAAGCGCTATTAAGCGCGTGATTTGTCATAAAGTCATAAAATATTGCATAAAACATTTTTTAACTCGCCTCGGCTGTGGTTCTCTTCGAGAGTCACCCGCCGATAATATTGTCGTTTGTTTTGCAGGCGCTTCAAACTGGAAGCGGAAATTGCCTCCATGACATGGAAAGTGCATTGGGACGACGTAATCGTGATACCTAACGCGAAGACAAGAGGCTCCATGTACTCCCTAATCGCGAATAAGTTTCGCGGTAGTGAACTGGTAAATATGATGGAAAATGCAATTCTCGCGTGATCTTTGTAGAATTTATAACATCGCCTTACTTGCGGTAACGACACAATTCAATTATCTAGGATTTCAAAAAGTAATTCGAGTGGATTAAGCAAATATTTGTCGCGATGAGTTATAGTGGTTAAAATAAACAACGTCACGGTTGCGATCGAATTTTCATCATAGCTTATCCTGATAGCGTTTCCAATAATTTTCATTCCTGAGAGGATGTGGTGTTCGTACCTCAGGTAGGATCTCTAAAGAAAGGAAAGAGGACAATGGTGGAAAGTATTACTCCACGAGTAGTGCTTACCCACTTCCAGAACATCCGGAGTAGCAACCATAAAGAAGACTTTATTTCATTGTACGTTATTCTGTTGACGCGTTTCTTATCATTTCTCTACATAGCGTTAAGGTACAGAAGCAAAAGAGAAAGCGTCCGTTTTTAAATTTGTTCGTACTTTTTTCTTATACAGCGAATAACAGAAAGAACAGAAAAAAAATAAGTTTCCCTTAGTCTTGAATTTATATTTATTTACAAAGCATGACGGAATTTTTTATTTAACGATAGAATCTTTGACCAATTTTCACTGAATCGTTTTAATTTAATTGAAATGTCAAGTCAACAATAATTTTTTCCATATATCAAACAATTGTTAATAGAAAACTTTTTCAAATAAAAAAAATTACATTATTATATATTTAATAACGAGAATTTACTTTAATTAACTTTATTTATAAATTCGCGTTTAGTTTTAAAAGTTCGATTACTGAGGCATTTAGTATTTGAAGTTTATTAATATTCTGTCTTATGTAACTCTCTGCCTTATGTCTCTTCTAATCTATTAGTATTTAAGAGATGATCTCTGTTCCAGACGATATATTCTGAAGATAATGCAAGTCTGCCAGATGGTGTTGATCGAAATGTGTATGTTCCGACAGGATTTTATAAGGTTAGTACGTTTGTTTTCATTTTATCTTTAAATCACAGTGCGTATGACGCGTATCAATTATGCAGGATATAATTAATTTATAGCAAATTTGGTTGTACACACTAGTATGCAGTAGTGCATACTATTATTAAAACCGTTGCACATGATTTATGTAAAAGTAAAATGCAAATATTTCAAATATAAGGTACAAGTTTTAATATTATGCTTAATAGCACAATAAGTAATGTATTGAGGATTTCCAATTCTAGGATTTCCATTAGAAAGAGATGAAAAATAAGTTAAACCTCGGTTAAAAGTTAACCATGAGTTGTGAAACTGAGCCTTAGTGGTTTAATCCGTCTTTATATTTATAGTAAACACACATTTTTACCTTAATTCGTGTACGATGGCTTCAATGTGCATCAATAAGCTCTGAGTGCATTCAATCGAATTCGCTATTAGAAATAGAAACAATAAATCATGATGCGTAAGTATCGCAAAAAAATTATTTTCCGACTTATTTTCAAGTTGTTTACCGAGGTGCAATCTCCAGTATTAACAAGATTAAACGCCAATGTATATTATCTACATCGAAATACATATATATTCCATACGCGTCGAATAGAGGCTTGTGTTGTTCACGTCTGCCAATCAATATTCACTTTTTTTTAAAATAAGGATATTGCTTCAATAGAACGTCAAACAATCGCGCGACACACGTTCGAATAAAACGTAACTTGAGAAACTAATTTATCAATAATTTCATTACAGCTGCAAAAGTTTTTTCATGTAAGATTTACAATCGTTTTTTTGATAGCCTTATTTTTCACGAAATTTGTTTGATACCAAACAACAAGAATTCGATATTTAACATTGATCTAATTTATATTTTGTGCTTTAAAATGTATAAGTTTATATATATACATACATACATAGATATATGTATATGTGTGTGTGTGTGTGTGTATATATGTGTATATTCTTTTTCATGGACATTCGATTTTTACGAGGCAGTCAAAGAACTGTCAATCAATGATTCCATCGACCGTAAAATTGCGATTCGTTTCAGAACTCAAAAGTCGCAATAAAACTCATACCGAGGAACAAAGTGGAAATTTCAAGACCTTTGTTGCTGGAGCTAAAGCGGGTAAGTAGCTGACTTCACAAACGCATGTCATAAATTATTGTCAATTTTAATTTGTCAAACGTAACTCTTTAGTATACACTTTGCAATTCTCTCAATAACGATTCTCAATAAATCATTTTTCTCTCCGCGTAATTTCTTCTCCAGTAACCGATTGCATGTAACGGGCTTTAATTCATATGAGTGGTGATGTTGGTGACTTTCACAGATGAAGGATCTCCAGCATGATCATCTTGTACGATTTTATGGTGCCTGTCTCGAGCCGCCGCATTGTTGTCTCCTAACCGAATACTGCCCCAAAGGATCTCTCCAGGTGAATTGCATTTCATGTCCCGATTTAAAGTTTTGATGAGTAACCAAGTAAATAATTATGTCCCACGTGTCATCAAATTAAGGCAAGATAGACATGCATTGCTGCAGAATGTGCCAAAACTTATGATTTAATTTTGAAATGGCAATCCTTTTCTAATAAAAAAAAATTAACACCACAATAATTATGTACTTATAATTATGATTTTGATTTAGCTAATTTCAAGTTGATTTCAACAGGATATTTTGAAACTTAACTTACGAAAAAATATACATATATAATTTTAAAAATATTCATATTATGATAAAGAACAATTCCGCCTTCGACGTTTTCGTTAAAAAAATGATTAAAATATTGTTATAAAATATGAAACATTTTGTATATATAGTTATGTCCGAAATACTGTATATCATATAATATCGGGAACGATGCAATATACATATGACTATGTTAATACCCGAAGCATATGTACAACTAAGCGTAGACTATCAATACATTCGTCCATAAGCATCGTAGGCGTCCTATATACGAAACAAAAGATGCTCCATTTATTGAATACTTGTCTTTCCTTATAGTGTAACTTCATAACTCGTTTGAACTATTGATTTGCCTTGCCCGAATAGCCATTTTAAACACGAGTGAAACTTGTACAGTTGTTCAAGAAAAGGATATGTCAAAGGAGACACGCGAAACGTAAAATATTTTGTACGATTTTATGCCATACATTAAGTATGTATTTAAAGATACACATATATAGCGATAATATTGAAGCATACAATATATTCAAACGTTTGATGACCTAGATGTAAAGAATATTACATAAGAACCGACAATGTGCGTTAAGGCCATCACACGTACAAAAATTGTAGTCGTAATCGTAAAGTCGCAAGCAAATTGACCAATCACAATCAAAATTACGATCTCGCGTTTTAAAACGCTCGACTGTGATTGGCCGATTTGCTTACGATTACGACTAAAAATTTTTGTACGTGTGATGGCTTTTACACTGGTATTTTAATCCTTTGTTATTGGACAGGATATACTAGAGAACGAGCAGATAAAGCTCGATCGCGTGTTCAGAGGATCCCTGATACACGATATCGTGCGCGGTATGGCGTATCTCCATGCATCGGAAGTGAAGAGTCACGGTAACCTCAAATCTTCAAATTGCGTTGTCGATTCACGATTCGTCCTGAAAATCGCCGACTTTGGCTTGCACGAGCTGAGAAGAAGCGCAGATGTGGATTCAGATGGCGATAAAAACAGCTACGCCTATTGGAGGAGTACGTATTTGCAAACTGTTTACGCCTCCGTAAAGCATTCCCGAGCGATAATATTTTTCCAACGACCTACACTAAAATAAGAGTTTGTTAATAGTTATCAAATGTTGAGAGAAATAATTTCAATCAAATATTTGCTTAATATAGCCAAAAATAATTTTATCTTTCTAAATATTTAGTAATTATTACAAAATTGATCGCATTATTGTGGTTGGTAATATTAAACATATTTAAGAAAGTAAATTTATTTTTTCGATTATATTATATTAATCGAAAATTTGATTGAAATTATTTCACTCAATATTTAGTAATTACCAGATTCTTTTTTCGGTGTAGTTGCAACGTCAAATATTTTTCAAACGCATAGAAATACAAATAGAGAAATATAGATAATATTAGAGTTAAAATAAACATATAAAACTTCTGTTTGAAAATTTAACTACTTGGACAAACAATATTTTATCGCTTGTCACACACACGTTTAGTAACACGTGGGAAAAACAAATATCAATAATTTCTGATATATAACAAAAATTTTACACGCTACAAATATTTTTTATCTCGACGATATTTCTATTTATAATTTATATTTACAATAACGATCGAACGCGTGGAAAAGGAAGGAGAGACTGCGTTAAACTGCTGCACCCGGTCTGATTTTTTAGAGCAGGAAATTTTGTATTTGTAGAACAGCTTTGGACAGCTCCGGAATTGCTGAGGCTGGAGAGACAACTGCCCGAGGGCACTCAGAAAGGCGACGTGTACAGCTTTGCTATAATCGTTCACGAGATCGTGATGCGCCAAGGGCCATTCTACTTGGGAGACAATAACGAATTCTCTCCAAAGGGTAAGTCTTAACGTCATTCGAGATAATCACGGGTACCAAAGCAATTGCCTCTCGTCACGTTTCGTAATACAGGAACAAAAATTGATCCCTAGTTAGCGTTGCACTTTATTCTTTTTGATGTGCATGACTTGCACTAGTTTAACTGGAAGCAATAAGGTCAGAATAACTGTATAAAATTTGCAACTACATCTTCCTATCATTTGAAAGGGATTCTCATTTGAAAGAGATAATAAAAATTATTTTGATAAGCAAATTTTCAGTAGACCGAGAAAGCTGGACCGAGAAAATGAAACAATATATATAAATATATGCACAGAATATATAGAGAAAAAATATATAAATATGTTAATTAAGAAAAATAGAATCCATTTATGTATATCCGCAAAATAATTATAAAGAAAGAAACAATGCTTCATTTCTCGTATATTGTTTTACAATGCAGTAGACAGCGATGCCATTGATGAACAACGTTATAAATATATTATATTTTACTAATCATGAATGCAAGAGATGAATGCAAGACGACGTATGGAATAATATACAGAACGAATTGTAGATCGTTATTTTATCCCATGATAATAATAGAAGAGCACAGTGTTTTTGTAAGTGCTTTAATTTAGGCATTTTAAAGAGTAACGAGGGGGGGGAAGACTTGTATCCTATATCGAATTATATAACCATGTTCATTTCAACGCATATAACATCTTTTTGTGCTTGTATTTCTAGCAACATGCATGTGGAATATGATCACGAACATACCGACGATTTGCGATGACTCACATGTTATGATTTAGCTGACGGTAATAGATTTTAATAAAAGCGATATCAATTCATGATTAAATGCAAAGCATATACAAAAATTACAGAGTCTTTCAATACGAAATTACAAGTATTGTATATTGCAAGGCAATTTAATTGTATAAGAAAATTGTTAAAACGCTTTCAATTTAATGATATTTAAGTAATGTAATCATATACAATTTTTATATAATTTTTAAAAACTAAATTGTTTGTAAGTTTCATATTTTTATTAGTTTCACGATCAATTTTTTAAACGAGCTTTTTGCCTGTTGATAAGTAAAATTTCATTCGCTGTTTTATCGGCCGCTGGATATTATTACTTGCTAAAGCTTTCTCAAAGAATCTTTTTGATAATTCTATCGAGCTTGCAAGCTCCTGTTTAGGCAATCCGTTACCAACAGTCGGTCTCTGCAGAACAAACTGTTAACACTAGAACCGCGGCTGTGCCATTTTTAATCTATCTGACAGTTTTTTCTTTTCCAGTTAATTTGAATCTGCATGTGGAGCTTTAGATTTTTGTGACTATTCATAAATAATCATAATTAATTACAAGTAATTTTACTTTTATGGTGACATCATAAAAAGCCAGATTTGCCTTGAACCGCGATTGGGTTAATTTAGATCCGCAGTTCTAGTGTTAAAATTTGCTGCGTTCCTATATTTATTAGTGCTGGCAATCTATAGTGCAGGTAACGTATACTATAAATTTTTAATAAATTTTACTAAGAATGAATATCGAAACGCAGCCATATTGTTTAAATTATATATTAAAACGAAACACAAATATCAATTGTCTCGTAGATTGTATGTATTTTATATTATTAAAATTTTTTTATATATAATTATAAATTGTACAGGACCACAAAAAAAATTTTTTGAAGAACAACTCAAACTAGAGTAGGTGTTTCTTATAGATTTTAGATCGCTGAATTCGAATTAGTAAGCCGTTTTGCTCCATCATGTCCAATTTTTTAGTTAATTAAGGAAAATGACGAAAAATCTGTGAAAATTAAAACATTGAGGAAAGAGTAAAACTAAATATGACATTGAAATACACCCAGAAAAAGGTTTCTTCAATTCAAAGAAATGTTTTTTTGCTACACGGTTAAAGAAAAAAATTTTACATAATAATGAGTTTTACCAAATTTTTACTAAAATTTGTAACAAGTAGAACTGAGAGAAAAATGCCGAAGTATTGCGAGACATATAATTAAAAAAACAATTTTGTGCTTTACTAATTTTAGGTATTATAGTCTATATACGCGCCACTCGAGTAGCAGCGCGTGAGCGGCATATGTAGGCTATAATACCTAACATTAGTAAAGCAAAATTGTTTCTTACACTTTGTTAAATTTGTCAAAATATATTTAGATCAGTTCTGCGACCGCATTTTAATGTCATTAATTTTACTCTTTCCACTCGCTTAAATAAAAAACTGAACGTGATAGAGTAAAACGGCTTACGAATTCGAATTCAGCGACCTAAAATCTATAAGAAACATCTACTCTGGTTTGAGTTGCTATGTAAAAATTTTTTTTGTGGTTCTGTGTTATTATTCAGTAACCATTCAATTAAGTTTTATTTCTTATACGAATTAGACTGCATAAAATTAGAATCTATTATCTATTCTCACGCTCGCGCAAAATATTACCGATACATTTTAATATATGAAATAAAACAAATAATTAATTAATCTATAAAAATCTATATAGTTAAAAGATTTGAGTGTGTATCTTCATTGATATCAATATCTTATCAAATATTGATGATCAAGAAAGCGAAGCTCGGTAACGAAGCTTGCAAGAACAGATTGAATCGACTGATGGCTTCGAAGGGAAGGAAAACCGTATCTAACATATATCGATATTAGATTATTATTAAATGTTGATCACCCGGTAATACTGGTCACAGTAAAGCGACTCGAGCTTTACCACTATAAAGCTCGCCACATTTTCAACTTAGGGAAATCGATAGTTTGTCGCGCAATCGGTAATGGAGTTCTCGTTCAAAGCTTGCAAGTTCACGGCAACCAGCCACGAGAATCGATCGAAATGGAATGTGTTCTGTAGGAGCACGTCGAAGCGAGGTCCGAAAGCTCAGTCGAAGCTCTCACGCGTCCTAGAACGCACGCGACTATCGCGCGCACTCCGCCGAGATTCTCGTTATCGCTTTCCTTTTTCCCCATTTATCCATTTTTCTTTTCGGCACAAAAAAAAAAACGTATTCTCGGCGACGACACGTGAAATCATCGGGCACCACTTATGTCCCAGTCTGCGGCCTAAAGACGAAGTCGTAGGTGTTGTTTTAAAATGAAAAGGAGAAATCTTTCGACGAGCGGCATACCCGACAACGTGCGTGCACAACGCGTCGTGTTCTTCTTCTCCTTCTCTTTTTTTTTACAAGCTACGTGTAAATTTACAAAATTTGTTGTCGAAATCTATTGGATTCTTCGCAAAATTAATCTCATCGCGTGATTTACACGCCGTATAACGATTAATCGGCGGCAGTATCGATTTCGAATGCGAAAAGACCGCCGCACCGGGTCGACGCACCTCTGTAATATCAGCGTTACAACCGCGCGGAAGCAATTAACGTTGCATCATGGAACGTGAGGAAAAACAGCATGTGAAAATAAATCTCGGTGACCGTGTTAGAGGGATAGAGGCCACTGACTACGTTAAAGTTTCCCCTATAAACGGAATGGAGCTCTTGCTTCTGTGTTAATGTTCTTCCACTAAAGAAAATAAATTTCCGACGGGTTAGAGAAAGAAAGTCTATTGATGACATTTTCCCTAATTTTGGGAGGAAACTTTTTATTAGATTAGAAAAGAGTTTCCAAACGCGATGGAGTAATTCCTTAACGATGCTGAGAATAAATATTTGATAACGTTAAAAAAAATATGTAATAATAATGTCATCCTTTCTCTGTTATACAAAGTAAAACGATGATAATATAAATTTGCGGATCAAAGGTTTATTAACAGTGTTTTTAGTATCAATTGATTACGAGTATTAATACGGTCGGACTATTCATTTACTTGTATCACTGGTGGCTTTAACTTCATTCTATACGCGCGATGCGGTTTGAACTGTTAAAGTGAACATGATTTGCTGACAGGCGCCGAGGAGAGAAACTCGAGGTAGCGCGCGTGGTAATCCGACAAGTGATAGATCGCATAACCGATCAGACAGCGTCATAAACGACCTGTTTCGTGTTTTGCGATATTTTCTGCGCGAGTTCACCGGCCGTTTGCTGTACTATGCAACCTTTTATTTTCTCCTCTATTTCTTATCTCAGCACGAATGGGACTTTTATCTTTTTACACTATATACTTCGCTCTAGAATGTTTTTGTCGCGATAGACAGATCGTTTTATTGTCTTGTTGCTGCATGCTTGGAACAGTGCGAAATTGGAATATAGTTCAGTGTCTCGTTTTGTCACTCTTCCTTTTCTTCTTTCTTTCCGAAGTTTCCCCTTCACAGTTCTTGTTTATGTAGTTGTAATAAAAACGTATTTCCCAGAGGAAAATACAATTTTTATTTTCAGAAAAAGATATTATTTTTAGGCTACGGTCATTTAAACAATATTTTCGGCAAAAAAATTTTTAATTATAAATATTCGAAGAGTTTTAATTTTGAATTATACTATTCATATTCAATTTTAATATGTGCAGTTATTAACATCTAGATTTTTTGTTGCGTAAACTAAATTGGAAATAAGCCGAAAAATAAATGAGTGTTATATATACGCATTATATATATAAAGATTATATATAACGATATATATGTATATATTCAATATCGATATCGACATTACCATCGAGTTCCTTGTACCATAAACATTTCACTTGCAAAATGTGTCCCGAGTGGAGGATAACGATGAAAAGCGTTCATGCTAATTTACTCGGCGGCGAAATCGAGGTTACGAGCTCGTTGCTTGCGGTTATTAATTCTGCGAGACATTTTTAGGCGCCGACAAAAACAGCGACATGAACAAAATAATTTCCTCATGCCATGAACAAATTACGATTCACACGTTCCGTGGAAGGTATGGCGTATCGTGTAGTGATTAGTGCTGGAAAGTTAAAATCGGCGTATATACAATAAGACAAGGTTTAATGGGATCAGTGGAAGTGAAAATAGAGATCCGGGATGGACTCAGTTATCGGGATAAACGCGAGTGTTTCCCTAAAGCGGCGAAATCCCATAAGGCAAAAGAGAAACTGCGGATTATACCTTAAACCTTGAAAAGGATCGGATGGCCCATCCAATGTAATTTTCGGAAACTTTTTTGCATTGTATATAGCGGAGATAAGAATATATACATTTGCGTTTGATATTTTAATGAAGCGGTTCGTTACGTGTCAAAATTGTTTCTAAAAATCAGTTCACTTTTAATTAATTTTCAATTATTTTTAATAATCTTCAATAATCTTCAATAATTCTCTTACTTTTCCATTTAAATAAAATGCTATAAATCTCTCCTTTTTTTAAGTTTTGGATATATCTTGAAACAGGAAATTATTAACGCAGATTACGTGTAATTCAGTTTAATGGCTATGACTATTTACGGAAATTGATGCGTCTTTTGGCGAAATTTAGGAAGTGTGAATTTGTGAACTCAGACGAAAACAGGGTCGTTGGTCATAAAATGATCAGATAAGGATCAAAAAGAGATCAACGGAAAAGAAATCAAAATCAAACGCGACGATCCAAGGCCGCCAAGACGTAAGTTTTCAACGAAATTCCATCGAATAAATCGACCGTAATATCATTACACGCGAATTAAACTTTAAGATGAACATCATACTCATTTTAACTTCGAGCACTCTGAAGAAAGCTTTTGGATAATAGCTTTCATTCATCAAAGCTCTGTAATGTAACGTCTACAAATCGATTTAGCAAAAGATTAGCATTATCTTAAAAAATATACGCGTCGTGTGACAATTTTTATTGGGTATTAGATATTATATTATTAAATGCATATTTTAAAACAATACTTTTTTGGAAACGTAACTAATTCTTTAACAAAAGCTGTCTATTTAATTACTCGAATTATTAATCGAATTGTTATAATAGTTATTATTTGCAGAAACTGGCCATTGTGGAAATACTAATGAATAATTATAAGCAATTATATATAACAGCAACTGAAATTTTAATTAAGCGATTTTTGAAAAAAATAAAACGCTTTAGCGATCCAATGTTTAATAAATATTATTTTAGCTTGAGAAAATACGCGATATTTTAGTACGAAATAAGATAAATACATACTTGAAAGAAGAATGGTAACGGTTTTAACAACTTGCAGAGATATGGTACTGTTTACGCAATACGTCGAATACAGTCCACTTTCTCTTGCATGTTGAACAGTAAATGAGAATTAATTTTGTATAAAATGTTTGTTGTAACAGATCCGAGATAAACATAACAAAATATACATTTATTATGCATGCTAAAACAATGTACTTAATTAATTGTGAAAAACATGATATAAATTTATATAACAAATGTTTCGACAATTCAAATTCTAGAGTTAAATGTTATACCTTAAATCTAAATAAAAATATAGATATACATATATATATACGTGGTTTAGATATTATTTATGCAAAAGGTTATGCAACAAAATTATCATATAAAACGTATAAATCACAGATGATTTACATCTGATAAGGAAAGGGGATCCAACTGTCGCCCTCCGATTTTAATAAGCTTTTAGTATGTTATTCTGACAAAAATAAGCGACACGTATTTTTTATACGTGTCCATACACACTTTTAGGGGGTGAAACACTCTTTAGAAAAAAATCGATTTTTCTCTTTTGAAGCGAATATCGTCGCAACTGTAAGAGATAGAAAAAAATTTTCAGAATGAAAATTAAATGGCTTCAAAAGTATACTTTAGAACTATAATAAAAAAAATTTTTTTTATATTTATTTATGATAAAAATTATTTATTTATAAAGAAAAAAATTTTTTTTATCTAAAAGCTCATTAAAATCGGAGGGGAACAGTTGAGTCCCTTTCCTTGTGAGTATTCATATCTGAGTGAAAAGTACAATAAATGTCCCTTTCTGTCTGTATTTAAATTCTCTTTTTTTTTATGGTACGCTACAATGATCGAAGAACTCTATCCAACAATTTCCATCTGTCAAAAAACGGCACGCGATATTCAGCGGACTTTCCGCATGATGTATCACATCCGATTATTCAACCGCGAAATTTCGCGATCGTATGGAGGATCTTAAATATGAAATTTGGAAATAGTATATATTGGCGGGTTATAAAATACTATGTCATATAAATTTTTATCGGGTATGCCGACTTGGCGGAAGTATAATACATTTGTCATGCGTGTCTGCGTGCACACACGCATGTACGTGTACGTATGCGAAGGAATGGAAGAGAACGAGGAGAAAAAATCCGATATCGCAACGGTAAATTTTCAAGGGCTGTCCGCCGAGGCAGTTTGGCTCTCCCTTGATCGATGGCCAGGCTCTTCAAGGACGAAGACAGAATGGCGGATAGGAGTAACGCCTCAAGCACGAGCAGCCTAACCCTGCCACAAGGGCCGCAAGTCGGGACAAATACCGACGGTGGGGCCAGTCCCAGGAGGGCCGTCAGTCCTCTCCTCGAAGTTCGCAGGCCTCATTGCACCCTCAACTGCGAATCCTGCAACTTGTTCCTCGAGGACATCTACAGGCACAGTATGTGTCCGTTGTCCTTGATGCGCAACAACAGGTTCCAATTTCCTGTAACCGCGATTGAATTCGATATCCAATCAATCATATAATAAACGTAATTACCTTCCGGTTTCCGAGAACAGAGATCCGCCAGAATATAACATTCGATATTAACCGATCGAACAGAACTAGATGATTGTGTGACGTTTATGTGGATTTTGGAGTATGGAAAATTTCATTAGGAATATTTCCTATGATACATGTTATAAATTGATATCGATTTCGTTTTGTCAAAGAGGAATTTTATAAAATATGCAACGCCCTGTTAGTAATTGGAATAGAATAGAGGTAAAACGCCTCTCATTTCTGTGATCTTTTCACTGAATTTCATTGAAATTTTATATTACTTTTAATAAACGTCAACATGTTCTATCTATTTTAATTTAGTACCTTTCGACACTCGCACGTGCATACACATATTGTAAAATTTTTAATAACTTATGATTGTGCATTACATTATTACTATTATAATTTTAATTGTATACGTTATTTATACTTTTCATGTATATTTTACATTATATATACAATTATTAATTTATAAAATGTGTTCTTTACTTGTTTCAATCTCTTTAAATTTCTTTGTTTATTTCTTTTTAAATAAAAATTGTTGTATGTATCACTAATTTAGTGGAATTTTTTATTTCAAGAATTCAAGGAGTGTGATATATGATGATATTGATACACAGGAAACTAAAATTTATATTTCAAGATTTTATATGAAATAGGGCTTGCGAATATTTCCTTTGTCGTATAGGCTATGTATGGAATATTATTCAAACCAAGATTTTTTATGTAATTTCAATTCTATTGTTCATATTCGTCATATTATTTCAGTTTTGCTTATATAAACGCGTATCAATATTTCAAATAAAATTATGCTACAGAAAAAGAATAAGATTGAAAAAGAGATATCAATTAAAACAGGAAAAAGTAAAAATATACATTAAACGTTATTGTAATTGTTTCGATCAGTTTTTAATTATAAAAGTTAGCTCGCTTTTCAGACATGATCCGACATTAAATAATAAAAATTTTTATTTAAAAAAAGTAACTGTAACGGTTACGGTAAAATTCTATTTCCGTCTCTTTGTACGTACAAGTTATAAAAGAGAATTAAATTTCTGTTGTCATTGATATATTTACCTCCCTTTGTCAATTTACCTCAATTCGTTTCTCATATTGACGTTTACACCAGAAACCCGTTTAACTAATTCTGTGACTTTATGGAACAGATATATCAGCTAGCAGTTAGACCAGGGCGGAGTTCCGGTATGAAAGTAAATGTAGACACGTTAACTGATTTCTATTCTTTTCTGGCATCTATCTGCGATGAAATTGGCGTATGTTATTTATATGATCAGAAACATAGATTGTATTATCGATAACTACATGGTTTTGAATGCCCGTTAGATGCTGCTATTTTTCACATTTTTATCTAACTGACGATTCTATCATAGATTCCCCGTTAGTTACATTCAATAACTTACGCTCATCCGCGTATTGTATAATCTTCATAAAAAGAAATTTATATCGCAAGATGAGAATAAATTGCCTTTTATATAAGTAAAGAGTAGACATTTAAACATAACATAGATACTGATCCGGCTTGTTCCTTTTTCTCTCTCTATTTCTCAACTTCGACAAAAATAAAAATTATTTTCAATAAGACAAACTTTCGTACTGTAATTTTATGGTTCGTTGATGCTCTGAGATGTTCACGTCAGTCTGTAAATATACTTTATTGGAAAAATTTGCAGGTTAGATGCGCCAATAAATTGATACGAACGATTGTACTCAAGAAGATCAAACGGTCAACGGAAAATTTGTAGCTGCTCTTTAAAATGATATGTGGACAGTAGTGAAGTACGCTAGTAAGCGGACGAAGGAGAAAGTTCCTCGCACTAAGCGGACATCGCCGTCTGACGCGGGCTCACTGAACCACGGATATAGTTTCGCGCGATTGCATGGGAACATTATAATCTGAATAATTACAACATTGCGGAATACCTCGCGGTATTGCGTCAATTGCTTTTAACATGTTATCTCGTCCTACAGAGCAGTTGCACGTTGCAATCGATATTTTATGCCCAACAGGCGGATTATTTTCCACGCGTTTTCCTTTTTTTCTATTTTTTTGTTTTTCATGAAGAGATTCTTTTACGTTGCCCTGTGAACTTTGATACCATGCGACACACTTCGTCTCTGTTGCAGAAATAATAGAAGGTGTTAGAAGAGGTGGCGGTTCACCATTAAGGCCTGTAATAGACGATGCTTCTGTTGAAGAAGAGGTAAACATTAAATTAGCAAATATTTTAAATGTATTCACATATTCATGTTTACATGTATGCAAGATTTATTTGCTCATGATAATCAATGGTCATTCATTGGCATTATCAATTGCATAGTACCATAAAATATTCATATGATTCGACGTATTATTAACACATATATTATTAATCGCTTGCCTGTTTAAAATGTATTTTTAAATTTAATGTATTTTTAAATGTTTGTTTAAAATGTATTTTAAATTTATTAAATTCGGTCTCACATAGAACATAATTCCAACATTTTCCAACTATTGTCAATACATCTACGATAATGAATTTGCTGAAGATGGTTTGAAAGAAACCGGAACGTCTAAATAAACTGGTATCGACAGTCACTGTACATTTTTAATATATATATTATGTGAATATTATTAGACTATTGTATAAATTGCGCACCAATTACCGCGCTATGTAACGCTCTCATTGTACATTATATTATTGTTATTTATTAAATTGCTTGTACAATTTAACAATTAAGTGATATTACTATTCTGGTTCTGCTCATAAATGCGTTTCAAAATTTGAAATGTGAAAAATATTTTGGCGCGCGGTATACAGAATTAGAATGCATACAAATTCACACAGAAGTATGTATTTAAGCACTACCGAAAAAAATATAAAATTATAAAAAAATTATAAAAATTATAAATATCGTTTCGACTGAAAAGAAGAATATAAATTTATGAAATGAATATCATTTTACAGGTAGCTACTCTAATGAGACGATGCTGGGCGCAAGAAGCCGCGGACCGACCGGATTTTCCTGCGCTGAAGCAAACGATTCGTAAAATTAATAAGTGAGTAATTTCTCTCTGCAAATATGCCATTAATGTAATCTTGTAGTTTAGAGATCACGATTTACGAGTCGCGCGTTTCTAATTATGAATTTAGTCCACGTCGATGTCAGAAATGTCACGTATACAGACAGCGGACTTAAAATAGAACCTCGAACAAATTTTAATGACCTATTCTTTCATTAAGCTAAAAGCCCTAGTTGTAGCGCGAACGCGTAGCACGGATATCGAGATCGTGATAGAAAAAAAGTGCGTATATCATCCTTTAGAAAGGCGATAAACCTCGAGTTGGGGTGTAATGTCGGCGCGGAGCTGTAAAACTTGGAATAAAACGTCCGAACTATCAGAAGAATGCATTAACTGTGTCGTCGAGGTATTGTCCCTGTCTAACATTATTTCTATCTCGTCGGATTTTTATCGGATTCGCCGGTACACCGGTAGAAACCGGTTACGTTTTACGTCGAGATGCCGGCGTGTCGAAAATGTCGATAACGACAAGGATTTTCCTAGGAATCAGCGATGGTACATAGATAATTGCGCGGCTGCGTCTTCGGCATGAAAGAGACTTGAGATTCAGGTCGAATGAATTGAGAAATGGCTGACTGCGATCTCCGGTATATGGTGTGGAACAGCGTCGTTCGTATTCAGCTCGGCAAATTGTACAGGCCATTGTAGAAGCCGACATAAAGCGTCGCCGAGAGTAGAGCTCGTGATATCTCTACGAGTATTTCTTTCTCTTCTATCGTAAAGACAGGCAGTCAACTCCTTTTTCTCTCTCTCCCCCACCCTCATTCTCTCTTTCTTTCTTCTAGATATTGGTATAGTTGTCGACCTTCTGGGCGTTGTGCATCATCTCATAGAGAAAGAGTACATCGTCGAGTTCAGGCACATAGTAATTCAGTAGGTCAATAACTGCACGTGAGAGAATAGCTTCCGGACGGTTAAGCGCGTTCCGTTGAGGAACAGAAAACTGAGAAATAAGCGGAAATGACGATGATGAGAAACCGAGAGGCAAAATAAGCTGAGAAAAAAATATGAAAAAATCGTGTCACTGGTAATCGATCATCGAAGCAATCGTCCAACCTTTTCTAAAAGGAAAATTGCGCTTGCTTGCGAAAGGCGTAGCTGGCTTTTCTCAGAAATATAAATTTGCGACTAAATCATCCGTAAGATCATCTCTTCTTTAAAGGAGGTATAAACTGTAAACGAGCATATCATCTAGAGGAGATAAGATTTATTAATTTCCAGCGCGAAGTGTGAAAGTTGATGAAGACAATTATGCCTATAGAAATTATGCAAAACAGCGATCTCATTTTTTTACGTTAAACTTTCTCTCTCATTCTTTTTTTTCTCGTTTTTTCTATTTTTAATTTACATTTTCTTATAAGATCACCGCTGACTTTCGTCAGGCAATCAAAAATGCCGAAGACGTAACCGCGTTAGTATTTGCGCAATTATCTATGTACGATCTTTGTTACATTTTCGATCGCCCGACGAAAGCCAGTGATCTTGCGAAAGAATGTGAATTAAGAATAGGGAAAATGAGAAAAAGAATGAGAGAGGAAGCTTGATGTAAGAAAATGAGATCGCTGCTTTGCATAATTTCTATAGGCATACTTATCCTCATCATGCTTTCACGATGCGCGTTGGAATCTACATTAAATAAGAATTCTGCAATCTCACAGGAAAGCGATTCAATCGACGTTCGTTTAATATCTTCGACGGACGGCTGTTTCGATTGACGGCTCGTCGCCGCGTTTGATCGAGAGCTTCCGATCTCATTTAACTCTGACGTAGTTTTATCGAAGCACTCGACAATTTTTATTTTCATTTTCGACGATAACATCCATATGACTCGTAAATTGGACCGACGTGTGGCTCCCAATGATTGACTTTCGTGAGAATTTTGCGGATTCGAGAGCCATATTCATAAAAATCGTTATTAAAGCTGTTGATTTTTAATATTGATAAAATGGATTATATCTTACATATACCTACGTATTATATACAATGTATAATCTTTATCCGCTTTTTTTAGGGAAATGGTTTATGAGAAAAATTTTATTTTTTAACGATCGAATGATCTATGACATTGAGCACATTTATATTTTACATCTTTTAATATCGTACACGTGACACATTTAATATCTATTAAAGTTATTCAATATTTATAATTAAACAATTTTGTTAAACACATGTTACATTGTTACAACTTAAAACATTACGTCATGTAATCAGAATTACATTCAAACATGTCCTATTTTGGCTAACAAATACACATATTCTGTTCACTAAAGTTCTAAAGCTGTAACAACACGGACTCTCAGGGATCTGTACAACTGACACAGCATTACTAACAATCCCTTTAAACTTTCTAAAGCTTATTTACTAAGAGACTATATACAAGCTTAAAGCAAAAAAGTTTCAAAGCCTAAGAGCATCTTTTTTATCACAGTCTGAGATATTTTTATTGAATTTAAAGACGAATATTTTTCTCGATCTTTATCTAAGAGAGATCTTTTCATTATTGGTGTAGTTTATTTCTAAATCCATCACTGATGTATTTAAAAATGAGAAATTTAAATATACCTATGGCCATATTTGTTAACAAAAGTTTTATATTGTATCACGTGTATATATTTGAATTTACAACTTTTACTTTTAATACAACTTTACAAAGCATGCCTGCATTTTTTGTTAATTAACGTCAGAGCTATTTACAGAAAAATATTATAATACGCAAATATACGTGTTAGCACGATTTATAAATAAACTCACATCGTAATCTACATTATTACCATACATTTAACGTGTCGATTGTTGTAAAAAGTTATACGATTTAAGCAAATAAGACGTTGTGATAATAAAAGCTTAGTGATTACCACAGTTTCGTATATTCTTCAATTTCGCGGAGACGAATTAATACTAATAAATGAGAACGTTAGAACGATATCACAAAATGTTTCAGTGCTCGATCTTATTTATTCTAACAGTCGATAAGCGTATTGTTCACACATAATACATGAACAGAATACTGAATAACGATTTAGAACTCAACATTCTCAATATATGAACACATTATGCAAACGAATACCAAGCAGAATGATTATGTCATTTGAGATTAATAATTGAGAAACAAATTGTGAATACTTTTTAATATTCAATACGAAATATCTTTTGATACTCATACTTTCAAAAGAGCGTTTTATGAGTTTTCATTCGCGCGCATTTTCCAGGAAAATTTTACCACGTAGAATTTTACCACGTTTACGTGATATTGCGAGAATTCCTATTCTGCAATGATCTCGCATTTGAAACGCGTAAAAATGAACCCTACGTATTCGTCTGAAGTACGCCATTGCGTACCACGAATGAATACCAGTGTAAAGGCGATCGGACGTGCATGTAGCACGTGGGAGGCATTGAGTAGTTTTAGTGTTCAATACTACACAGTGCGATTGGCAGCGGCAAAGTGGACGATAACATCGTCGAGATTCGCCCGTTCATCAGTACATCGGATGCTGAATTCGCAAAGATAATATCGTCGTTTATAGGAATTTTTACTATCAGGCGTCTCTCTCGAGAATGTCGTTGCTCTAAAAGTGAAATCGTTATGTACCTTTTCCGTCCGGTCATAAAATTGAGGTCATGAAATAATTCGTTATTAAATAAGGAATCTAGCAACGTGTGTACGCTCCCAAAACGTTTCCTTTGATCGAAAATTGTCAAAGCTATACAAGGATCTCGCGACAGCAATGATTCTACATGTGCGAGTACTCCATATTCTTCTTTCATATTTTTTGCTCATATCAATCTTTCAGGTGCGGAGTACGTTTATATATATCTCGTTGCTTTCATTTTTACACGAGTTATTAAATTACTAGTGCGACAGAAAGAGAAGCAAAGGCCCGAAGAGATGAAAAGAGAGACGAAATTTCTCATATAATCTTGAAAATAAAATTAATTCAAAGCTTGACAAAGATAGGTATAAAAAAAGTAAAAAGAATAATATGTATATTAAAAAAAATGAAAATAAAAAATATTAAGAGAATGGTTAAAGAGAAAATAATGTTTGTAGTAAAGGTAGAAAGAAATATGCAAAAAAGCGATCATTTATCACGCACCTGAATGAAATTTCTTTCATATTCGCTATCATAAACATTACACAGAGTGTGTATATTATACGTATATTACAAAATAACTTAGTGTGTGTTAAATTTTTGCGTACATACGTATATAGTTGCAAAGACATTCTAACAATTACAAAGAACTATTTGATATTGTTGTTTGTGAGACAACCTACGTATGTTTTTAATAACTTTCTTTATTTAATTTCTAGAACTCTCCGTGAGAGTTCTTTAAGACGAAGATTTACTTTCGCGCAAGAAGGCTTAGATTGTTATGCTTGACTTGTGCCAATATTACATTATAAATCGCATTATATTCTATAAAGACAATGGGCGCGCAAGGAATATCTAATATCTTTTCACAAAGGCCCGCTATAAACTCATCTTTATCTTTCCGAGCTGTAAATTCGATCTCGAAGATATTTCATAACGTCATAATCATGAAATATTTAGCCGTGCGCAATTATGTAGTTAGGAAAAACTTTTTTATTTTATCGCATTCGTGCCACGCAGATATGCCAAGCAATATAAATTTTTTCTCAAATATAAATACTTTAAGAACAAACTATATATTCGATATACATAAAATTGATTTTTCTACAACAAGAATTTCATTGAGCTGCATTGGTATAATATTTTATCCTGAATAGGTTTTTTTAGGAATTTTATTAACTTCGGAATCTAAATAAATAACAACGAAATGTGATATTCTTTAGCTAAAAGAAATTATCTACTAATAGAAGCTTTACAAAAGTCGAAGGTTACGAAAGATACTTACGCTAAAAATGCATAAATTGAAAAACATCAAATAATGATCGTCTCACGATAAATTTTTTTAATTTATTCGCAAAATATTCTTGAATCAGTATAGAACAC